TTCTTTTGTTTCAAAAGGCCTCATGATGAAATCTGGTTGTTCATCAGCTGTCCCAAGCGCACAAAAACACTTATTTAACGCAGGCTTGAGAAAATATCTCTTGAAATTGATTGGAAATATCTTTTGGAATGCAAGGACAACCCACAGCTAATGGGGGATGATACTGTAAATTACGTTGAAAACCCATTTGGGTAGTCCTAGTGCAAACACAAACGCTCGGGAGAAAATAGTCAAGCCCGAGATCGGGCTTGACGCTCAAACCTACCGTTATATAAAAACGCCACTGATTATTTTTTAATTTTAAACGTGAATTTTGTGAACGGCGTGTATAAGAAACACCACTCATGAAGTGCCAAATCTACTTGCGAGGTAATGTTTAACTAGATCTTCTGTTGACACTGAAGCAACATTTAATAAGGGTATGAGAACTGGACAAATACACTCCATTTCTACAAAAATATCATCGAAATGCCAACTGATTCTCTCGTTTATGATGGGCAAAACCGATTGTAGGCCATCGAAGAATCTTCATTGACAGTATGAATAGTGTATTACGTCTATACAGGGGTATTAAGAGTTTGTTTCCAAGCCACAATTAGGTTTCATGTGGATTATACGGGCCATAAATCTAGTGTTATTACTCTAGAGCAATTGTTGAGCAACTCAGCATTGCTTACGTTGAGCAGACCAAAGTCTTGCCGTCTCTAATCCCAGAAAGTGACAGTTCTCCACGTGAACCAACTAGCTCTAAGCACACGAGTCGATGCTCTTCGTTTTGAAACGTGTGCCACACCTGACAACGACCGAAGACGTATGCATTCGAATTCTTTCTCTTGTCCTGTTCACCTCGATAGGACGCGAAATTCCGTTTGTTCTGGTGAATACCGAAGCTCCATGGATGGTGTAAAAACTGAGCTGCTTTCAGCCGAAACTAACTACTGCTTGTCATGGCGTGACATGTTTCAGGATGACCCACTGGATACCCTCTATAGAAGGAAGGATAAGATCAAATTCACATGTATGCGTGATCACGTGATGTAGAAGTAAATAATATTCGTCAAAGGATGGGTTAAGATAAGCTGTAAGACACAGGTATAAGTGTTTACCTGAAAGACGGGTATGTTAAACTGATGTGGACCACGTTAACTATGGCAACGAAAACAAAGCCCATTTGTCAGCAGTGATCCTAATAAAAAAGCCTCGAAAAATGGACTCTCCTGATGTTGATCTACAAGCAAAACATACAGTGTGGCGCTCTCCCATCCAATAGAAGCCGCCCAGGAAATGTGTTTCTTCCCCATGCTTAGGATTTTTGTGTGGTTTATACGTCACAAGCCGTTTTTGTTTAACATCAAGGATCAACTTTTAATGTATTTTTGTTCATGCATGCATTCGGCCTAATAAAAGATCTATGAGTACCAATCCTGGCCGTTGGGTATCAAACGTCTCCTACAAACGTGAGTTTATTACTTGTCTCATTATTCTTCAGCCTCTGTAATCAGAAACAAACAAACAACTATTGCAATTCGAGAAACTTTCTAAGTCGGATTGAGAACGAAAGCAGATCTGTTCCGAGAGCAGTGCTTGGGAGGATCAAGTGACTTGCTCAACGGAGAATTCGACAGATTATTGTGGCACAAGTCACTTTTTGAAAATAATGTAACGACTAAACTCTGTCTAACTATGTATGAGGCCAAAAATATTAATGAGACAACCCATGGATAGTCCATTAAATTGGTATTCACATCGTCCTAGCTTAAACTAGCCTTTCCTAATCACTGTACGATATTTATGAATGGTACATACTTTAAGGAGAGAAACCGAAGCTCATCAACAGTGTTTTGTGTGACCGGACAAGAATTTGACATGTGCTTTGGGAGTATCAGGGCGACAACAACAGCAGTTACACTGAAACAAACTCTATTATGTGAAAAGATAATGTTTTTATTCAAAAACCCAATGACTGTTCTGCATTTGTTAATCAGTCGAAGACGAGTATTCAAGCCCGAGTACTGTGCAAAGAATGCAACAGCTACTCACAAGCAGCAAGTCGCTTATCATTTCACACCAGTCTTCATAGGAGAATGGTTGATTTATCGCTGTCCCAAATTATTCGTTTTACCCCGATCTCCCGCCCACAGTCATGCATAAGTTACTTTTCACCCCCTCCGTCTGAGTCACTACCCCAGCAACCAATACGCTGATGTGACAAATTCGCGCCGTCAACGTTCCGCTACCTGCCACCATATAACCGCGTCTAGTTAGAATGACGTACGCTCCAGACTTTGCCTGAGCAAACGGCCACGCCCTATTGGAAAAGGTCATGTTTGTCAACAGATAACTCCTAATTTATTTTGTAGCTACTGTTAGGTGGATGTGTTCATTCCCACTGGGAAGGCAAGACAATCAACCTCCTGTGTCGTGGTTCTACACGAATTTGTTGGCTTGTAAACAACATTTGGTAAATTAGTGAATGGCATGACTTGATTTCAGACCCGGATTGCGCGCAAAATACGTTAAAAGCCAATCCTTTTAGGGGTGGCTTTTTTGGTCTACTAGTAATCTAACCTCTAGCGCTGTTTATACCTTAACCGGACACCGATTCTTACGTGGGATCCTAGAAGCGCAAAGACCCCTGAGTGAAAATGAATCACAGGTTGTTTGTAAAGCTTTACACAAACTGCGTGACAAAAAGGCAACAACATTCTACCTTATATGCAGTATCATCATCTCTAGGAGAGTGGACTCAAAGAATTATTTTTAAATAAGAGAGTGAAACGGATCTGTCTCAAATTTTTCGCATTACGAGAGCTTGAATGCTGTTCAAGATGGGCGCTCTCTGGAAGAATGCTGCCTGACCGCCCAGGTTGAGGAGTGCATTTTGAGCGTGTGCCATTAAACTCTGAAAGTTTCGGGGTATGACGGTTCAAACGGAGGGGAGGGGGTTGTAGGCGTTGATTCGGACGCTAACAGCATCAAGAATGCCGCTTAGCGTAAGCTTTAGATGCACCTTCTGGCTCAAGCACCTGTCTTCCCCCTCTACATTATATTAGATTATTTTAGAAAGCGCGTTACTTCAAAGCTACAGCGGAAATCTCCTCCACCGGAAGATACTGATGAGTAGTCTGTGTTTATTTCTAGATTCTGTAAATGCTGAATCAGGTTACAGTGTTCTGATCCGTCCGTGCGCCCAATGACTAGGGGACGTAGAACGCAATGGGGAAGCAAACTGGTTCACAAGGATGAGAATCAAGGTGCATCTTAGAGACAACTGAGCAAATGTGTACGCCAAAGACAATAGCTAATTTTATTTGCTTTCCAAAGGTTTTCCCTTATTTAAAATGCAAGTATCCATTCAATCGTTACTGTTTTTTCCATTTAATTCATTCAGCAAGGTAAATGAAGGGAGACACACCTGACTGTCTTGTCGGTTTCCTGTTGTTCAGCTTTATTCTCACTAATTTGAAAGCAAGTTGTCCTAGAATATCGTTTATTTTTCCCGGCTTCTGTCTTGGCTGTGCAGAAAAGTGCTGCAGACCTGCTGTTCAATTAGTGTGTTTTCCAATAAACCAGACTTCCAGAAGAACATGACTTCTGTTGGATCTGCGGCTGCGCACTCTTCGAGAGGGAGCACTCTAATCGTGTATCAGTATTCCGTCTAATTTAGTTAACAGAAAGTATCTTTGTGTGCCAGCACATATTGATGAGCTGAGAACAAAGAGGAGTGCTGCAGTACATCTATATCTGAGACTTAGACTTGTTTGAAATTATTCACGTGGTTTCTCATCTGTCTGCCTGTATACGTTGTGTTGTCTGGACAAGTAGATTTATCGACTCAACTCACTGTAAAGGTCAAGCTCAGAAGTGAATGAAGAAAATTACAATCTGTTTGTCTTTCTTCCTTGACCTCGTATGTTCTCTCCAAATATCGGTTACCTCCTCAGTTTCCTCATACACACATCTGCATATCAATTTGGTTTTGATGGGAGACTTACCTGGAATCGTGTATTTGGGGTTCAAGTAGAATAGGTTAACGGAAACTCGGTGAATGAGGATACCGGATGATCCCCAAGGGGAAGAAACCGGTCATGAGTTTGTTCAGCAAACGTATGAGCGGTGTGTTACTTCTATCCAAATTTTTTATTTTTACTTGGTTTAACAGACACCAAAATTTGCTAGAGATCTGGCTATCTTTTAATATTTTGAATTGTTGCTAGCCTCGCAGTTCTGAGTGCTGAGTACCAAGTCTATGGATCAGTGGTGTGAAGGCAGTAGGTCGAAAATGGAACGATAACCTACGGTGTGTTTCGTCCTTATTTGAACTCATCAGGTGGACACCTCATCGATCGCCTTGTGATCAGATTCCGTATCCGCACAACTAACTAAACTAAGTTCGACCTTTCACTGGCAATAAAACTCGTTACTCCATTAGGAGAAACTACTTGAATTTTAGGCAGGCGAACCCTGGGGCTTATTGTATAGACACGGCAAATGATCCACAGAGTTTTTTGCTACGTTATTGCTTGGAAGGAGGATTTCCATCAAGAAGAAATACCCAAGCCCTGAATATGTTTATTACTTAAGACTTTTGCCCTCTTGATAGATTTTAGTTTCAAGGGAGGAATAGTATAGTGACTGATTTGCCATTCACACAGGCGTTCCTACCACCGGTATGATAAAAGCAGCCATTTTGTTGGGAAATACAGCAATGCACACCGCCCGGAGGAAAATACACGATTAAGGGAAATAGTATCAGCTAGCTGCTATGACCCCGGAAGAATCGATCGTCATTAAAAACATGTACATACTTAATGAACTACTCATAAGTTTGCCGTAATTCTTTGACAGCCCACGACCGGTTTCATCCTTCCATTTTGGGCTCATCAGATAGGCACAGCCCCCGAGTTTCCGTCAACCCTATGTTCTACTTGAAACCCAATTACACGAAATTGGCGAAATACCTTCATTTGCAAGCAAGTTTGGTTTTTCGAGAGACTCACTTGGAACCCAGCTGAATCTTTCATTTGTGATGTTTCCAGGCAACTGAACATTAAAACAACTAAAATCATTAAAATGATCATTTAGGCAGTTTAAAACGTATTTGGCTCTAACGGAAAAGTGTATGGTACTGTGCTCTGATGTTTTGGTTCGCCTTAGAAATAATCAGAGGGAACTCGATAGAAAGGTAGATATTTCTAAGTTTGATGTTTTCGGCCTCACACACGACCAAACGGGATGGTAAACTGGAAAACCAAGAGGCTGACTTACTGGATCAACTTGGAATCCGAACAAAAAGATGGTTTAGAGAGCCGTTATCTGCCAATTGTCAAACGATGACTGCTATTCGTTCCTCCGGTGGCTGCAAACAGTGAAAGTTGGAGTCTGAAACTACTGTTGAACACAGTGATGAACTGAACTAAGGATGTGGCCCCGTGTTAGCTTTTTCGAGAAAACTGGCAGGGGTACACCATGTCGTCCACTTTCAGAACTTCGTCGCAGCCCATCATTTGGTTTATCACTTTATCATTTCCTCACTGAGTGATAATAGTTCCTAAGCGGAATATTGAGTGAACTCGTCAGATCCATATACGTGTGAATCCAGAGCGCGTGTCTATGAGCGCTGTAGAAGCAGCTCACCCATGCAGTAACTCTAAGTACTGCCGTGGCATTAACAGAAGAGGCATCCATCGCTACATCAATCAAAATGAGCTTCATCCCAGCCGCAGCAGAGTAGATAATGGTGTATTCTCACTCCATAATAAATATGACGTTTGGATAGGGCATGTGAGTTTACTGCGTATCACATATTGGCGTGCCAGTAGTAGCTATCTTATTAACATCAACCTGGGAGGGGCAGATCAACAGGCATCAGTAGGAGATCACACTATGTTCGCTGACCTTGGACAATTAATCATAACGCTTATGAAGAGGGTCAGCTATTTCAATGAAGTACTGTAAAACATACTTTACCAAAACCCAATTCCTCGGAATATTTATGCAACCTGACTGATAGAGGAATGGTATCTCCCCGGTCGATGGTGACCAACGGCTTAAAGTACGTAAGTATCGCGCAGAACTTCGTGCAAGCATAAAGGAAGGAAACCCGCCTTCATAACGCTGGGGACTTTGTGACCCTTCGAAATTCATTCATCCTCTCAACAGTCATCAGGCAAACAATTACAGAACACTGAGCTGTAAGTGATCACGTCAGCCAGCAGGGCGATGAGATTTCATGAGTTGTCAGTATAGTCGAGCGAAATTGTGACATTTCTACAGGTGTGGCAATGTCCCAGAGCCTTTCGTGCTCGGAAGTCGAAAAGAGGGATGCACTGTACACTATCACGTTCTCACTTTGTTTTACGCAGCCAGTAACGACAACCATTGGTGGCGTTCAGGAAAATTGGATAACAGCTCCGACTGCCATAATACAATGCTGTGTGTCAAAAGGTGAATAGAGGTCAACTGGGTCTCCGAAGAAGAAGCGAGGTTAATCTGGTCAGATACTTTGTGTCCAGCCGTAGGTTGTAGTGCGAAACGGACGCTAAGGATAACAATCTGGGATACAATAACTTTTGATGTGCGCCTAGAAGCCACAGTTACGGAAAGACCTTGTTTCATATCAAACAGATCAACGATGGTCATATACCTAGAACAAGTTAGGAAGACGGTACCTGCAAATACCTAGGTCCGTCAGGAGCTTCAACTTCTGCCTTTTAGAAATGTCTACAGCCCCCGGCAGTGCTCGTAGGACAATTCGCCATTCATTAGCAGATATACACGAAGCTCTATTGGCAGAGCTGTTTAACTAGTCCTTTAGCGGGGAGAAGCTACTGGAGGGCTGGAAAACTAAAACCATGATGCTGACGCACAAAAATGGGAACCTGGAACTACAAAACTGGTGGTCCGACACCACTGGCACCAAAGGTGCCCAACAGAATAACGAGACACCAAGTAGTGACCCATTTAACCGTCTAAAAATTACTCAAGGCCCAGCAGCATATATTTACGCACAAACGCGTGCATTTTTCTAGTTTTCTTCGTTTTATTATCGAAATAACCCGTAGTTATAACAAGGGAAGAGGCTGAATTGTGCTACTCAGCTTTTCAAAAGCCATCTCACAGTCAACAGCAGACTGGTGTTGGTTTGTAGTTGCTCACATCGTGTGCAGGCGGTAGTGAGTAGGTGTTGTCTGGTTACAGAGGCTGCAAGTGGCCGGCGGCAGAGTACTACAGGGATCAGCGTCAGGACCTTTACCGTTTCAAAGTTATATAAAAGATCTACTGAAGGACTTGGAAACAGACCCTATGTGTCTGCTGATATTGTGAAACTAACTCGCGAACTCTAGTTCACGGGTACACAGCACATATTCGGTAAATCTTATCCGTGACGTGTTGCCTGGGCATTCCCACCAAATGCCCACAAACGTCCGCACCTCATCATGGTAGAGGCTTCACCCTGGTAGCGCTTCCTTGGTTGGCCAGCCATCAGCGTGCCTATTACGAGGGCATCCGACGTAAGAGTCCTTGAGTCCCTCACACTGTGTCAATTGGTTTCTTGGATAGCTAACTGCGCACCACACTAACTGAAACATGTAGTTAGTCTGCAAATGCTTCAGATGCTCTTGCTCCCCTACAAGGCCCGTTTTACACTTCACCGTAAAGGTTGCGTGCGGGCTAAGGACTAACCTGAAAATATACATGGGAATGGTGGAGCGCATTCAGCGCCAGCGTGGGTGTTTTTAATTCCGGGGGTTGATTATTGAGCAAGAATCGAGGAATTCAACCGCTTCTTCATACTGAGGAGGACGATAAGAGGTGACATCCTCGGGGGATTTGAGATACCAATGGTTTTACTGATACCGGAAATGTGATGCTTCTAAGTTCAAGAGGAACGCCAATGCTTGGAGGCATAACAAAACTAAGCGTGTAAGATTCAACAACTGAAAAGCCTATGGAAATGGGTAGCCTAAGCCTGAACTGACAAGGACTTTAGAAATCACTTGAAACCCTTTCGGAATATGGATATTTTGGACCACTTCTGACAATCCTGGCTTACTTCTAGAAGTCGGTTGTTATCCTTCCACACAAAAAACATTGCTTCAGGTCCTTTTCTCCCTGCACTGATTAATTCGGGGGCTTGTTTATTTTTTGTTTTCCCTTTTACCGCACTTCCCATTGTTATTCATGGAGGTTAATCTTCTAGCTTTACCGACGAAGCAATCCTCGAATTGGCCTAATAGAGATTCAGCCAGAAGCGGCAAACTTGCGAATATACGGGCTTTCCAGTAGAACTGGAATGTGCTTGCTCGCTACTACCCTGTACCACCACGGAATTACATTGAACAATATTTAGAAGAGTTTCTCTGCTGTTATCGCAGCCTCATGCGATCGCTGGAGCTCATGGGAGCAACAAACTAGATGATAAACTGGTGTCTGTCTTGTTTGTCCCGCATACTAAACTATACTTTTAATAATGTAGTGATTCTTAACAGGGCTGTCACCTGATCGACTAAAGCGAAAAATTCAGCTGCCCATCAAGCTTTTCCCTCGTCTAGCGGCTCACGCCAACTTGGTTCCACTCCGTGTGAAATTGACCTGATGGCCAAAACATTTGTTCCACGGATGAATGTCTAACGAAAGATTTCTCCTTCCGAACAATGAAACCTACTGTTGATAGGCCTCCATAAACGTCTGCTAATTTGATGTATTAAAAAAAGTAGTACAACATCACAGCGATTGTACCTGATGATGTCCACCGCAACGTAAAGTTTTTCTATCTTGGAGCGAGACAGTGCATTCCGGGAATGGCTAGCAAAGTCATTCTGTTAGACCATGACTCATTCACCAGTACCATCGCACACTTTGTCATCCATGGCCGAGTGATGCTGGTCAAAATACTCAACCCCCCACAACTATTCCCAAAAATTTCCGGTGAGTTATGGGATGGGAGGTCGCCCTGACCAGCGTTTCCTTTGGGCTTAAGCATGTCATCAACAAAAGCTAAATATACTAGACATCTTGGCCGTTGTCATTTTCTTTAGACTTAGTTCTGACAAGAGTCATCTGCCGTCACACGGATCTTAGGCTTAGTTTCGTTACATTTGTTTTAATAGAGTCATCGTCAAGTTTACAACTTGACACCCGAGCGTAACGTCCCAGCCATTCAAGGAACTGTTTGTTGTTCAGGTGTCAGTTTGTCAAGTTATTTGAAGTCGTTCACGCACTCTGTGGGAGAAGCCTCTACCTTACCGGAAGCTGTTTTATAAATGTGTGTTGGCAGTTGGAACAGAACCAAGCATTTTACGCCCTCGTTCTGAGGGAGTTGGACAGAGATGAAGTGGAAATTATTTGTCTAATAGTTCCAGATCAGTTTTGCGGGATGGAGGAAAACGAACGCCTCACAATCATCTAATTGCACAGGGACATCTTCGACCAACCCGGTTATTCAAGTGTACTGCGATTGCATTATAGGCCCCCATAGTTGAGAAAAGTACCAGGTAACTCTCCCGCAGTCCATTCTGGGAGACAAGGTATTGCTGGTATGTCTACGGATGACTTATTGGGAATTTTGTACCACACTTTACGGGATGCGAACAAAACTTGTTCCGATAAGTAGTACTGTTCACGTTCGTGGTTAGCTGACGATCTAATTCGACCAAGTGTATGGCCCGAATTGCCTTCTTGTTCAGTAGAGAGAGTAAAAGTAGATTACTAAGACGTCAATGGTTGTAGGTGAAGCAGCTTATCCTAAGGTAGGTGATACAACCAGAAATATCGGAAGGCTGTATTTCAGAGGTAAGTTGCAGGTCTTGGTAGAATACATGGGCACTACAAACGCGTTTCAATGGCAGAAAGATCGGCAGTAATGTCCGACGATGAATCTGGACACGGCAACAACAGAAACCCGAAGATGCACCGCATTAGGAGTAGGAATGCCTTGTTCCTCCAGGAACCAGTTTGTTGATTGTCTGATTCAATGATAGCACACTCAACAGGTTGTCTGGGCAGTCTTCGCATCAGTATCATCAAAAGGAGACTACCACAAAACTGCCAGTACATATTCAGCCGAAAACAAGGTTTTCTTGAATTTACGGTACTTGCAACCTTTAGAAAAGAAAGCTTTCCATGCTTCGTCCACGCGGCACACTCGGCCTATGGGAGTTCACTTAGAATACCTGAAAGCATTGTTGGAGATCAACGGCTGTCTATATATCTCACGAATATTTTTGGAGATCAGAACCTGAGAATATCCAACTAGTAGCTGAGCTACACTCCATTCGCATGTAGGTTGTTGAGCAGCAGTGTGGTTTACAACTTTAAAGCCTCATCTGTTGAAACCTACGATCAGAAAGGAGACTGATGAGATTATTCCTTTCCCTCGCAGTTTTAAGTCTCCAGACGTCATCAAACCTAGCTCAATGTTTTTATTGTCAGGCCATGCTGAGCCTGTTTAGTTTCGAGCTAAGCCCAATGCACTTTTGAACTACGTCGTTGTTTTCGTCTATCGCGAGCAAGATCTACAGGGGGGTATGACATCATCCGGCTCTACTATGAGCGCATTGGTGTATTTTCATGGTATTTAAGGAAAAAATTTCCTTACGGCCTCTTAATTGCAGCTGACTTCGACGACAATCACACCGTCGGGGCACTCCACGGAACTACTTGGCCTGTTGACAAGGCACCGGTATACAATGCCACCGAGAACGACGTGGAGGCCAACTCAAGTCAAGGAAATCTCCATGCACTCGGAAGGTAAATATTCAGCGACAAAGTGAAGAGGCCTGTTGTGTTATTGCACAATAGAACGATGTTGTGAAGGTGCGCCTAAATTTTGGTTCCTGACAACTGAATCATCGTCGCGACTTGGAGAATCTATCCGGCTTTTTCTCAGAGTGATCAGATTGCACACTCTAGTTCACTATGTCCACATTTTGTGAACCGAAGTCTTCCGTAGACCAAAATATTCAGCACTGATTACCAGGACATTCAAAGAAAGCAATTGGGGAGACACTTGCTGGGTAAAATCATCATGGCGTTATCTTAACCGATAGGGTAACCCTAATGTATTAAATAGGATATTCGATATTTTGAAGACTACTGTATGTGGCAAAGTCCTGCATTATGACGAGAGGATTGTCATCTTCTGGGGCCAAGAGATGCTGTCGGACGATAGTTAGGGGAACGATGTCTGTAGCGCGTTTCTGTCAAGGTAATTGTACTTTGACACCAGAGTGGTTCAGATCTTCCTAGGACTAATCCGTCCAAGGTGACGTTCATGGTTTTGAAACCGTGATTTCTCAAGAGCACAATTTGTCCCTCTAGCTGAACCTTGACACCGAGTGAACAGCTGATGCCGTTGACTGGATCACTTTCGTTATAATTTGCATTACAAATAGACCAGAAATGTGCGGAATCAGCTTCGGGAATTTTTTGCTCCATTTTAATGCCTCCTGATATAAGCAATAGCAGCAAAGGACTCCGACATCGTAATAAACTGGGTTATTTTGACATTGATAGGTGTCTAATGCGGTTTAGTCATTTCTATACCGTGATCATTCTATTTTAGGTTTAGGTGCTTCCTATTTTGGTGGGAAAACCCGATTAAGCCAAAAAGTCTTTTCGTCTGTTTTAATGTGGCAAAAGACTAGGTCTGTCTTCCTGCTTTTTTTCATAGAATTCTTGTCAGGTTTTTAATTTCGGTAGCCTCATGGAGAGTTTTGATCAGATCTATATTTCATGCTTAAATAATTCCATCTACTGGGACGTTATTGGAGATACTGGAAAATTGACGTTCAATCAGTGACACCCCAGTTCTATCCTGAATATCCCGCAAGCACCTGGGTTAGAGAACTGAACAGCTGATGGACCAGATGGACTAACAGCTGAGTGCACTCAATTCCAAATTGAGTTTGTATCAACTGAATCCCAATTGAATCTCTTGATCATTATATCCGTAAACTGAATACGCTGCACAATGGCAGCCTCACAATTCAGTTAGCACGATATCCCAGATATCGCAGAACTCTACTTATCAGGTTGCTGAAAACTCTTTGACGGCTTTCATAGTCGCCTCCTCGTCCTTCCTAAGGCTCAGCAGATGAACGCAGTTTAATCAAGATCATGTTTTTCTTAAGCCCTCATCCACCATAATCCACAACTATACACCCGTTTGAAAATTCAGTTTGTATTACCAGAGATTCAAGCGAATACAAACCGAATCTCCGGTTTATGAAACAGGCTAAACGTTTCATCCGTTTTACCGTCAGAATCATGTAGGCCCCGCTTTACTGTTAAAATGGGGTAAAATCCCTCAGCTATCCCAATATTCACTCTAGGTGGACAGAGCATAGCAATGCAGTTCTTCAGTAGCCTTATTCAAGTCCTGTGAGTTGCTCTTGACTCTCGCCTTGAGTGATATTTTCTGAAGGGTTACTTCGTGACGTTTGTGGGGTGTTCTTCTCTGAGTGTTCTTCTCTGCTCGTACAACTTGACCAGCCTATTATCAAATTGTTCCATCAACGTAAATCTATCCTGATAATTGCGCTTGCCTCAAAGCGAACAAGCAGTTTTGCATCGCACTACGCGGGACCTAGATTATCTGAAAGAATACTGTGCCATGCACCAGACACTGGTTTTCTGTATTTCAGAACGATATACTCTGGACGAAAAACTCAAATGGGAATGAATCCGTTTTTTAAGTAGTATCGTACCGAAAAAGGTTTTCTTATTCGGATTTCAGCCCCTAGTTAAACAACGGCTTGCGATTATACAAAGTCCCTTTTTTCATTGTGATTATTTGTGTTTTCTCCTTCCGTTCCAGCATGTGGCTGTGTGAGTGACGCTTATAAATGAAATAAATGGCACAGTTTGACAGGTTTTGGCAGCCAGTGATGTTTTGGAATCAGTCGTCAACATAAAAAGACAGGGAGATTAAGGATGGTCAACTTCATTTAAGGTTTGCAAACTTTATACAGCAACAATGGGATTGCTTTTAGAGATTGCCTATCATTTATGCTACTTTTCGATTTTGATGTCGGCATTCTTGTCAGGTATTCCGCGTCGTGGTAATAATTTACTTGGCTGTGAGGAAGTTAGTATAGTAGTGTTCGAATCGCGTCAGAAACTTTATCAGCCTTATCGGCTGCTACGGGAACTGTCAGAGCTACATGGTTGAGTCAAACCCCAGTTTTCGGTTCAAAATCACTTGTCATTTACTCGGACGGTGTAGATCGGTATTTGGTGCGAAGTGTAAGAAAGGGTGAACAGTTTTGTGATCTGATGGCCTACTGGTGCAATAACGGCGAGAGGAAGAGGGACAGGAATACAATACTTCTATATGATGTCCTTCCTGTTAACAGTTTCATCTCCTATACCACTGCGCGGTTGTGCAGCTCCATCCATGGAGCAAGGGAGATATTTCACTGGTTAAGGCCCAGATCTGCTAGATGAAAGACCAGTGGTTCGAACCCAACCGTGGTATTCAGACTGCTCTTAGCCAGGACCGAACAGCCGGGCAGTATCACAGCCACTGTGTACCCACTGTTGCCCAACAGCTACCCACCGTAAGAGTGCCACAAATTAGCCTCAATATATGTCTTTACCTTGGTTCTTTAGCGATTTAATTGGAGAAATGTTGCAACTACTTCAACTGAAATTCCCCATTATCGGCCATTAATGACAGGGATGATTGCCCTTTGTTCTACCTAAATTTGCGAATGGAAATCGCGTTTAGAAAAAGGTGCTCATATGGGTTTCATCCAAAAACAAACTGCCAAACCTGTGAACAAACCCCACAAGCTGCTCATCTTCCCTTACGTGTGTGTTGACCTTTTCAATCCCAGAAATTTCAATACTCCAGCTCGTTTCTATGATTATAAGTTTAACAGCGTAAAAGAAAAAAATTGAGGAAGGGATTTCTAAATTTCCGGATAACTGAACTTAAGCCGTGCTCATGATGAGCTCTCATCTACACTGAAACCTCCGTTTAGGGATTAACCCTCCGCAGAGAGTCTTTTTACTTTGACTAGTCAAGTTCCCGCTGCTGCTCTTTAGAGGTGAGATTCACATTTCTGATAATGGCAGTTGTGGAGAACATTACCGACCACAATGCTTTTTTAATGAGCTCAATCGAAATAAAGTTTGAAGGTGAACAGTACACCCATTTTGTCCGTAGAAGGTCACCAGATTTTACTACATTGTTCATCTCTCTGTATCATTTATTGTTCCCCGGTCCAGCCAGTGGTCATTGCTGTGCGGTATTTGTATAAAGTGTGTTCCTAACTTTCCTTCTTTCAACGCACTCACATCACCTGTGAGTTTTGTCGTAGTGCAGGCAAAACGTTTATCTACAGTGACAGGTTACCTTCCCTAATTTGTTGGTATGGTGCTGGAGCCTGCCCTGCACATTGGAGATATCACAAAACTGGGGCGACACGTGTTAAATGGAGAATACATTTGTGTTCAGTTGACCCACCGGCACATATGTGATACTCATTACCACGTACGTCCAAACGAACACATGCTGGATCGCATTTTAGCCCAATGTACGGAAGAAGAACAGGCAGGTTGTGGGATAGGTTTTTTTCCAATATTAACTGCTCTCAAAAAGGAACCTAAATTTGGTCTGTATACTCCAAAAAAGCTTAAATAGGGACTCCAAGTAAAAATTCAGTCACTGTGTTGTATTTGGTCACGGTCCAAGGCACAAGCTCGCGTGAGGCAGCTTAGTGGTAGTAGTCCCTCTAGGGAGGTGTATTCCAAATGGTTGCAGTGAAACTGAACATAAATTCCGTTCGACAGTTACAAAGGTTGAACTCAACACGTTGCTCCCGGTCTTAGCCTGAAGCAATTGACCCTAGAAGTTAAAATTCCTCGAGGGTACACTGAGTGGTTGCCTTAATCTGTCCTCTGCGCTCAAAACGACAGAAAGATCGCTTTGAGACTGCCCTGATTCACTGATCGGTTGCGTGGTTCTTTTAACTGTATAAATGTTATAGGCTGTATTGTATTACCCTTCTTATGCTGGTTTACACATTATGCGGCGAGATGCAGCATACGCAATGAATAAATTCAGTAAACTTGATCCCACATCCTTCTTCAAAGCTGTCAAAGCATGAGAGGGCTACGAGCTACAGCTCGGTTCACCGTAATCCGAGTTTTCGCAGAAACCGGGTGGGTAAAACTCCAAGCGATTTCGTAAGTTCCATCCTGAAATGCTAAACAACCTACCCGGTAGTTTGACTACGCAGTGCAGAGAACAGACCGGGGGTCTTATTTCAATCTCAGGTTTTTACACTTTATGTAGTTTACGCCTCGTGGCTTCCAAATTCCTTTTAAAACCGGGTTAATCAGGGACCGTATAATTCCTAGCCGAATTCCATTAGCCTCTGATTTACTGCATTCAGCAGTCTTCCGAAAGTATGACGCGATGGACTTAGCTTACGGTAATAAGTTTACACCCCAACTTTTTTAGTCACTGAATGATATTACGAAAAAACTTGAATAAAGCAACAGCATGGAATCTATCAAGTTTAAATCAATCCGATGCATGCTCTAATACAGGAGGAACAGCTGCACGCCTGAAGATAACCAAATGATTCTACCTAACCAGATATATGAAGACCAAATATGCTGTATTTCACTGGAATGCAAAACAAGACGTCAAACGCAGGCTCAGAGAGCGAGGAAAATTAAATAATCCACACGGGCCTTGTATGTATTTAGTATTTCTTCGTTTACATAAGTTCAATCGGCGGGTTGCAAAACAGCAAATAAAAATGACACTGGTCGGTATTGGGCAGAGAGTGTAAAGTCACGGAGCACGAGAGACTGTCACACCTCAACGACTGACTGATAACCAAGAAGGGCCGATTAAAAACTCGGCCGTTTTTGTACCCGGGGACTTTTGTATATAAGTCCAGGCGCTTTTGCACGTGGTATACAAAATCAAATGTTTAGAAATCCTTATCAGTCTACTGACAGTTAGTAGGCTGACATAATATTACAAAACGTTTGGTAGTATATACTCAAAAATGAACCTCGGAACTCAAATCTCAGAGGTATTTTAAAACGGTACAACCGAAAGGGGATATCAAATCAAACCCCGAAATTGTCAACGGAGCACCACTTTTCGATCAATGATAGCTGGACCTTTGAATGCGTGTATGGCTGCAAACAGTTAAGTTAGACGGTAGAGCTCACATTTCTATGACCAAACGCGATCGATTATGTTGGTCAGCTTCGTATGCGAGAAACACCAATCGTGGGTTTCAAGTTTTCTTGCTATTTTGGTTAAATTCTAACCACTACCTCTTTTTCAGGTGTGTATTGTCTTGCCTGCAACTGTTTGATCAGATTAAATTTGGTATGAATTGTATGAATTCCCACTGAGACGTGATAACAGGAGTATCCAATACGCGTCCAAGAAATGTGCAAAGCCAGTGAGAATGTCACAGTCTCGACTGCAAAACCCAAAACGTGAATTAATCTAGGTGCATTTGGCCAATTAACAAGTCCATAAATTCCAGTTTTTGTGAAGCCTGGGATCCTGGTCTACGATCACGTGGCGATGATGGTTATGGTGGCAGAGGATTAATCCATTATAGGTGACTAAATGGATGAAAGGTTCCTCGTAAAGGCTACATCCAGTCGACTGAAACATCTTCACCACGACAAATTTCCAAAAGGTATGAAGTTTGCAATTATCTTGGCTTCGGTGAACTTTGGAATGCAGACGAAATTTCACATGTTTAGCGGCTCGTATTGTCTTCATGGTAAGCATTCTAGAAACTCTTCCAACAGAAAATTTCAGAATGATCGTTGGAGGAGGTAGGAATATCACTATTCATACTGTTTGACAGAAGATTATACCTGTACATTTCAACTGACACAGACACAGATATTTTATGCGAAGAGACGTAATGTTTCATTACCATGAAGTCAATACTTTCTGGTAGAAATTGAAACTAAAAAATTCGGCTCTCCATTAACCATGAGACCATCAGCATCTCTCAGAACTTACTGGAGCATTTTCCGCGCCTACCAATATGAGAGGAAAAGAATGAACATCGCAGCAAAGAACAACTTTTCAATAAACCCCAATTTTCCCTCTGACGTTAGGATGTACCCCTTGTCTTATCTTGCCAGCGAGCACTGTGTGCGCAAGCTCCCATGGTATATTCCTATTCACATTTCCTCAAAGGCCTAATTGGTGGGTAGTTGCAAAATGTTTTCTGTCCGAACAGAATTTTGAAAAACCTGTGCCTTCAACCCAAAAGAACCCGGCATTTTAACTCAAGCTCAAAATACTGTGGAAGTGGGCAAACCGGAGCTCCGAAAGGTACTTTTTTGTCTTGTACAGTCAAGCTGGATTGAGGACGTCTATTACTAGCGCAGCGGTCGCTCGCTTGGCTGATGCGTGTAATGTGATGAATTCTATCACCGCTTTTCAAATGCAGTGCCAAGCACTCATCTACCTACGAACATCTGTTCAGTATTGACGTGTGGCGACAAGTGAGACAGTGGTGATTCTGAGGAAGCTTTCGGACGTGCGTTAAGTCCTTCATGATCTGCTCTCGTAACCACTGGCCACTAGGGCCAACTGATCGCGACGTGAATATTTCTTCAGACTTTTACCGCTTTATCCTTGTTTCACTTATGGGGCTCACTGGCTTTCAGTTTTTTAATTCCCCGTTCTGGATTGACCAGAAGAAGGGATCGAAAAACAATATTGTTTGCCAGCTTGTTTTTAAACCGGGTGAATGACTTGGGGAGCACAAGTTTCCAACACAGTACTTTACCACAGTTCTACCCTAGATGGCTGTAGACATAATTTTTAGGTCAGAGCTTACGCAGCCACACAATATTTTGTTCCTAGAAAACCGATGTGATCACTGAATTCAGACCATATTTTTATCATAAAACTGCACTAAAACCGAAAAAATATACAAAATCTTCCGAGCTGGTCGGTAGGATCAGACAGATTTTAGATTTTGAACTTCCTAACATATCCCAGCAATCCAAGCTGATTCTAAAAGCGCGTAAAATAATCAAACGGATCACTTGCACACTTCTGTAGAATTTCCCAAACTACTGAACAGAACTCATGCTCGAACTCAGCCGGTTAAACAAAAAGCAAGGTTTTTTGGGTGCACAACGAAGCATTGGGAGAAAAAAGTCTGGAGATAAATCTTTCGGTAGTTCTGTTATTCCCATACTATATACTATTTGGTATACTGTACAATATCAAAACTAATCTCTCAGCATTAGAAAAGCGTCCCAAGCTAACTTAAAGACACTTTTTATCAACATTCTGAGCTGATCAAGCTAGTCACTGTGAGAAAGTGGGTAATTCGAAGGCAAATTGACTAGTTTCAAAAACCCCTCGCCGTTGTTAGACTAAGAATGTCGAAACTAGCAAAACTAGCAAAAGCGAGGCCCTGAATTACACGACTGCTTCTGAAGACGATCCGGTTAAATGCTTCTACAAGATCGGTCAGCTGATGAACGAACGTTGAAGATGTCCTAACAAAAACGGCGTGGACCTAGTCCTGAGAAGATATCGCTCAAGGTGACAGCCAAAATCAACCGACATGACGTGATAATGAGCCCATCCATGTACGAATGAACACCGGAGATTTTGAGAGAATTCATTCGATTCTCACAACAAAAAACGCCTTAACCCATATGGTTCTGAAAGTAAAACAGACAGAACGTCCAAAACATTCCACAAACGATAGATTCGGCTTTGATGCAGCCGAGTGTAGTTTAACACTAACTGAATTTTCAAATGAGTATATTTTGGGTTTGAATAGAACATGAGGTTGATGGAAGCTTGCAGATAGAATTATGGTAAGGTTTACCATTCGTGATTTTCATGAGTTAACGAGTGTATTATTCATATTATTTATATATTAGCCACCAAACATTCTAAAACAAAATTGCTTCTGGGCGCGATATAACAATAATGTCTGTTGATGGCAACTCCTAAAACCTGAAGTTCAAGTTCAAAGGAAGTTGGTTACTTATCATGCGGATTTACCGTCTATAATGACAGTGCTGGATCCACTTTAGAGGATTCAAATCCTGTCCTTGTATCCGTGACCTTCGTATGCTCAACCATGATAAATCAGGCTTCTCAAACCCACAAAAATTTATCCGTCAAAGCTAGTATTTGCACTGTCAAACATGGACGTTTGGCCTTACCTATTTTTGACAACGTATCGTCAGAACTATTCAAGATTGTGTACTTAATCTCAGCGAGCTAATGTCCATTTATAGCCATATACACCCATTTGCAACATTAAACTGGAGTCTTAACAGAACCCCAGTTCAACCTCCCGCTTTTAATATTATTTGAAGGATTTCCGAAAACAGTCGATTTCCTTTCCTGAATAGCCATTCCAGTGAGTCCATAGCAAACGAAAAAAGCGCAAGACTCAAGTTTCCTTCTCATTCGAGCTCATCAGCAGTGCACGTCCTTGGCCGTACCGTGAGGCACCCAGCAGAGCACGCTGGGTGCATGGCAGGACTTCCAAGTCAGGTAACACCGCGGACACTTGAAACCTGTCAGGTTATTTTTTGATTAGGTCTAGGTGTTTGCGAACTTTAAGAGTGCAAGTTCACATCACACCACACTTCTAGCAACATACAAAGAAAACTCAAACCTGATCCAGACCGGATGTTCCTGGATGCTCCGTTGCGCTCGATTCCGACAATCAAGGGATTCTGTAGCCAGAATCCAACAGCACGTTATTTATCAGCTAATTCCAGTTGCACTAAGGCATGGGCTGATATGATTGTCTATTCGTTCTCTCAACGGATTTGTGAACATTGACCAAAACAGTCACTAGGAAACATTCCTTCAGGAAATAGCTATGCGATAGCAGTGACATCTAACTAAGGAGCATAAATAGCAGGACACGCCACTGAAACACCACACGTTTGAGCTTCTTTACGACTTCGAGGAAGATACGAAATTTTTGTTGCTCTTTTGCGCATTGTTAAGCAAAACAATACAGTCAGCATTTGACAGAGGAATGTCACTGAATCAGACCGTATGCTTTTCTTGGCGTTGCCCCAATCCCAACATTGGTCATAAAACGTTGTGTGAAATTCGATGATTGATTCCCGTTTTCTAGGATTTTAGTTATGAATACATAGTGACTTTTGACTCCGATCTTCAGAAGCAATTTTAAAATTTAGCATGGCGTTGTCTATCTTCTCGTTGTTTTCAGTGAAAATTCCAAATATAACATTCGGCATAGACGTAACGAACTATTCGCACGGTTTCTGAAAACTCTTCTGTGGCCTATGACCGGTTTTGCCTTTCTTGGGGCTCATCGGTTAGGGACAGTTTCCGAGTTTCAGTCGACCTTACGTTCTGCTTGAACCCAAGTTGCACGAGGTTAGCGAATTACACCCATTTGCATACCAATTTTGCTTTAATTGAAGACTCACCTGGAACCCAGCTGAAAATATGAAAAATGAGAGATTCATCTGGATTCCCGGTAATTCTTCAATCGAAACCAAATTAAAACGCAAACTTGTGCTGCGCTTATACTTCAGTTCTTCCAAAGCTGTTTATATATCCTTTCACAAGCCCAGTGACCTTTATTCTGTTGGACCAAGACTCACATCGGTTTCCATATTACTAGCCTTACTCCATAGTCTTAACCGTGGCATACCCACTTCATTTAGTCAGTTTGGTATCTAATACACAAATTTAGTGTTATTATCGGTGTTTATTAACTACACAAGCATGTTTCCGGTGACGTTTGATAGAGTACGATTACTGCGTATTTCTACGGATAAAAGGGGTGAACAGAATCTGACCAAGAGTGATGATGACTGTCCCATCTGCCGCACACGGCTTACGCGCGTGTTCGCTCAACTATTTTATTTGGGATTCACTCTCTATCTTACACCAGGTTCTCCGCTGTAGTGTTATTATTATGATTAACTAATTTCTGGCTCTTGTCGTGGACCTGCAACACATCTTCAGTCGCACGTTCCTAGTTCACCAGTGTTCAGAAATGTCAAGATGTTTTCGTCTCCCAACATGAGTGGAAATTCACTGCTTTTCTGCATCAACACCAGGTAGAGACAGATAAAGAAAAGAAACCTTCAACTAGTGTACATCTGGGATCATTTTCCGTAAACCTCTGATTTCACTTCATTGAGCAACAATCTCTTTTCTCCCCTACTCACTACAGGATTCCGATGGCAAACATTGCAGGCGTTTTTCTATTCAAAATCAGAGGAGACCATTTTGTGGAATTTACTTGATGCAGGCATAAATCTGAGAGTTCATTTCATGGAGTATACATTCTGACCTGACTTGAATTGGCCACGTCACTCAGGTGTGGTTATCACTTGCATATCGCTTGGACACCGCATTTGTTTCTCGCCAAAGCAGGGACAAGCTATGTGGTTGAAAACAATTTTGACAAAATCTGCTCTCGCACAGGTGGCTTTCGTAAGTGCCAGGGGCTAGTGGCCTCGTTATTTTCACGAGTTCGTTGACGTTACTACTATGGCACACCCTCGACCAACTTGAGAGGTGTATTCTGTGATAGTCAAGTGCAGGTGCATTCCTCTTCCGGATTTGACTGCCTGATGACACATATGAGAACATATGAGTGGACGGGTGAAATTTCCGTCAATATGCAATGTACTTCCGTTGACAGGATGGGCTTCTGAATACACATGGTAGTTAGAAGTGTTCATAGCCTAGTCAGTCAGTATGAAACAGAAACAACTGTGGCTTTGTGCAAGTTCTCCAAACGGAAGATGCTTTGAGAAGTAAAACCAGCTCAGGAAGTTTCTTCTTCTCCAGGGTACGTAGCCCCTTATCGGGTCAAGAAGACAATCAGGAATAAGGAGAAAAGTTCGCGGTTTCTCTCCTCTTTTCTTCATGATTAGTCAACGTGTTTTGAAGGAGTTATAAGCAGTTTTTGGTTCAGTTTCCTGTAAGTACAAAAACCACTTAAAAATGCCCAGTCTTGGGTACACGTCTTCGGATGCCCATATACTACAGTAGTTGGCCAATGCAAATTCCAGTGTTTCTGCGATCCAGCCATCAACAGTATTTGTTTTTATTTTCACGGATTTCTGTAGAGGAAAATGTTAGTAGCTCAGGTGCGTAGACGGTCATTGTCTTGCTCGCTGAGCTGGGCAATTCGATTGCAAACGTTTCATCACCAATCGAGGTGACATCATCTGTGCGTTATTGGGGAGCGTAGTGGTGCGTAGCGGTGGGTAAGTGGTTGTGGAATCAAATTGCCCAGCTCAGTGAACTAGCCAACGACCATGTTTACGGCTTTTTAGGACTTTCGGTCCGAATGAAGCCACAGGACCGACTAGTGGATTAACAGTTTGGAGCGCCACGCGAAATACACAATAATGAAACCGGCAGCGATCTTTCGATATACGTAGAAATTACTACCGTGGTTGATCTTTTGGTTACACTAGACTGCGCCCAATTATATCTGATTTGAGTTCTTTCAATGGCTCCCTGCATTCGTGTCTGATGAGCTAGAGTACATGAACTTATTGTGATACCTACAAGGTTGTATTTTCATTCAATGCATGAGTACTTGTTCTGATGCTGGATGGAAAAGGCGACTTCGTACATGCTACAACTACTTGTCGGTTAGTGATGATGATAAGATGATCCGGTGTTTACGGCTTTTTAGGACTTTCGGTCCGAATGAAGCCACAGGACCGACTAGTGGATTAACAGTTTGGAGCGCCACGCGAAATACACAATAATGAAACCGGCAGCGATCTTTCGATATACGTAGAAATTACTACCGTGGTTGATCTTTTGGTTACACTAGACTGCGCCCAATTATATCTGATTTGAGTTCTTTCAATGGCTCCCTGCATTCGTGTCTGATGAGCTAGAGTACATGAACTTATTGTGATACCTACAAGGTTGTATTTTCATTCAATGCATGAGTACTTGTTCTGATGCTGGATGGAAAAGGCGACTTCGTACATGCTACAACTACTTGTCGGTTAGTGATGATGATAATGATGATGATCCGGATACCTTCAGAATGCAAGCGCTCTGCAAATATCTGGATGAAAAGCTAACAACGTTTTATTTGTAAGTAGCACTAAATTGCTTGGTGGTCTTGTTTTACTCAGCGATATGAAACCTCGAAAAAATATCAGAACCAGTCACACTCAGTGGCTCATGACTTCATCTGATGGACAGTACTACTCACAATGTTTGCACAACAAATGGAGCCCAAAGATGTGAGCTGTGATCATAGATTTCATGCCAGGATGGTTTATTTCTTCCTGACATAACGAAATCGTCATAAGGTCATTGAAAACCCTTTGACGCCTTACGGCTGGTTTCGCCCTTCTTGGGGCTCATCAGGTAGGCGAAACCCCCGAATGTATATCAACCTCAAGTTCTAATTGAATGTTAACCTTTGAATAGTGTGTTCTGTCAAAAAAACATACCATAACGTAGATGGTGGTCGTTGGCTTGTTCGCTGAGCTGGGCAATTTGATTGCAAACGTTTCATCACCATGATGAAACGTTTGCAATCAAATTGCCCAGCTCAGCGAACAAGCCAACGACCACCATCTACGATACCTGAGCTACCAACATTTTCCTCTATAGAAAATACCATAACGTCTAGGGTATCGTGCCATGTGGAAAATTGAGGCGTCCTGGGTGCAGCCCATTCAATATGACAGTATCATAAATGAGCGATTTACTCTGCTCTCTCGTCAATTTCACTAAGATGAATGTAGTTCGTCAAGATGAATGGACTTATTAGGGCGTTCCTACACAAAGTAACTTTGTATTCCCAATTAATTAGGATTCGAGGTCATACCATAGGTGCATATTGTGTGAGGGCAGAAACGGAATGTCTTCCAATGAGAAACAATGTCCTGGTCCTGGGTTTGCCTTCGATAATAATCGACAGTAATCATTTCTTATGCAGTGGAAATTCACACCCGATTACCGGCAGCGTACACCGATTTTATCACGCCCTAGAGCGTTCGGTCAACATATAATATGTACGTAAATAAACAGTCATAGGTGCACAAGTACTAGCTATTAGTCCAAAAGACTTCCTGTGTTTTATTGCCTTTTTACGGCGACTGTGGTTTACTTGGTCATCCATACCAATTAAGACGGACCTGATAAGTGTGGTGTGGAGAAGTGAACCGTAAAACTGTCGAGACTACGGTAAAACTTGGTAGTTTGGTTTTATGCTATCCCAACAGACAGCACGGCGAGAAGGGAACAATATCAGACTGGTTAATACGACATACCCTACACTCCCTCTCCCTATGTGGGAGTATATATTTTCTCCCCTCTAAAGGGATCACTTCGTTCCGATTCCGCCAGCTTTACAATCGGGCTGACAGTCAGATATCCACCCTATAAAACAGTAAGAAAATTTCTTCATTGTTGGCCCAACTACTGCCCACCGAGGATTATATTTATTCAGAAAACAGAAAATGAGTAAACCGCTCGGTGTAGCAATTGATTTCGGTTTAGATTTTGGAGCGACAAGATGTAGTCAAGTTTTGTTCTACTGGCTATCTTCAGTGCACATTACCGGTTCTGAATAATGAGCTTGACAATTGAACTTGCAGCACAAAGGATTGATCCCAGGGCTGGTGTGCAGTACAAAAACCATGACGCGTAGTTTAGAACATGGGCTTAACAGTTAGAGTCAATGTTAATAACATTTCAACTGAAATCGGTTCAGTTTCGGGGCTTTAATATGGCTGAAATTTCCAAGTTCATGAGAAGTGGGGAGTTGCCCTCCCTGGAAGATAATGTAGGTAGTGCAGTTCAGTTGAAGGCTCTCGTGACGCAGTGCCCATCCAGTATGGAACTGAGAGATGTGGCAGTCGGAGTGCCGTCGGAAAATAAGTAGACCATAATACGTTTCGTTTGTAAATGTGAAGGTCAAGGGGATGTGAGGACTGCTAACCACTGCAGATCACCCATGAAGTGGCCGACAAAACTTTGATGCCTGCAGTCGTTGGATCCTAAACTTCAGAAACTAAAGCTCATCCGTCTTCCATAGTGAACCACCGTCAAATTTGTTCGCAAACTTCTCGAAGATGATGGACAGCTTTGTGTGTGACCAATCAAACAGTTCAGACGAAGGTGCAAAAGTAGACGTCAAATAATAACATTCTGTTTATAAGACTACAGAGATGGTGCTCTATTATTCGATGGGAAAATGGGGATCTGATGCATCGATAACATCCTATGTTTCTTGCACGTTTTGAGAAAATCATGTTTCAACTGAAATCCGACGCACTGCAGCTGTGTTGAAGTCCATGTGACCAAAGCACAACCCCCCGAAATCACCTACTTTACCTGCCTTACTTACCTATTAAATAAAATGAGAGATTGAGCTTAGACATAACACACTACACATGAGGTTGCTGAGGACACTTCAACAGCCCGTGATGGCTTTCG